TTTTTTTTTTTTTTTATGTTTGGGAAGATAGTTAGATTTTTTTTATGGTTAGATGTGATGTTTGTGAGAGAAAAAGTGAAATAATTATGGGATTTGATGTGATATTTTGTTTGGATTTATTTTTTTTAATTTTGTAAAATGTTTTTCTTTTTGAACCCAATAAATAAAAAAAAAAACAAAAAAATAAGGGTAAGTTTGGCATCCTCCAAAAAATTCAAAAAATCAAAAAGTCACTATCTTATTTAAGTAACATCATCTTATTTAAATCGTATCACCTCTCTAACACATCACTTCAAACTCAACCCAAATCCAACCCATATTTCATAAAAAGTTAAAAAGTGCACTTATTTAGTCTTCCCAAACTTGGTCTAAGTTGTCAATCACCGCCTGGAAAGGGATAGATTCATATAGCATTAGACTTAAATCTGGACATTCTTGTCTAAGGGAGCACATCAGCTAACCCTTGGTCTCTAACAATGAATAAATCACTATTTACTCACCTTGATTTGTTTCTTCTTCTAGTAAAAATGTGTGCATAGAATTCATGTACGGAAACCAACTCAAAAAATTCAACTCTTACGTAATGAGGCCCACATTTTAAATTAATTTGGGTCACATATTTTCTTGTGTATGATTTTTGTGAATGTAGCATTGTTCTTAGGTGGAGTTTGGAAATTGTTTTTTGGCAATTTTTTTACTGCTTTTTTCTTTTCTTTAGTGATTTTTTTTTAATTTATCAAAAAGATTTACACTTTTAAGTTTTATTAAACGTACTTAAAAAGTAAAAAAACATAAATAAAATTTGAAAAAGGTTCAATAAAATCTTTTTTTTTTTTTTTTTTGTTTTAGTGACATGTCCCTAATACGGCCTCTTTCTGATGATATTAACATGGGGTCAGGATCCTCTAAAGTGAAAATCCTGAAGTGATCTCTTAGACTGATCCATCCAACGGTTGAAATTAAACATCACCAAAACGATGTCGTTTTGGTGAGTAATTTGAAAAAAAATAAATTAAATCTATTTCTTCATTCCTGTGACTGTGAAGCAGCATTAGAGAGAAAGAGAAAGGCTGAGAGAAGGAGAGAAGAGGAGGATCCACATCGCCGCCCCGCCCTACCTTGGCCCCGACGCGCTGTCGCCGCCGCTGCCACACCTCTGCTGACACCCTACCCGTCATACTCCAAAACTAAGGTTATTAGGTCTTTGATAACCACTGGTCATTCTACCATTACAGAATTCTGCAACATTCAAAATCAAACCAAGGAGATAAACAAACCCAGCACAAACCCACTTGGGTACTATTGTGTTTTTTGTTTTCACCAATCCAGAGTTAAAATTCAACCTCCAAACGCAAACCCTTTCACAATAATTTCCAAACCTTGTTCTTGAAACTTTGTAAATATCAATTATATTAGGAATAATCACGAAGAAGAAAAAGAAATAATCCATTACTTACAGGAAAAAGGGAAAAAATAATCATCCAACTTAATAGGGAATGAAATTGAAGAAGCAGATGACAAAAGAAACAAATTTAACAATCATGAGAGACAAATATACGATTGAAAAACCCAACAAAAATTCAAACATGTATTGGTTTGTATGCATTGATTGAATACCTTACTGGGAAGGTGAATTGGGGTCACTGACCGTTGTGCTAAAAGCATAGCAGTGACTGTTATGTCTCAATTTGAGGTGTATTATCAGCTTATTTTTATGATTCGAACCGTTGATTTTGTAGGATTTGTTGAGTACTTCATGCCTACCAAAAATCATATTAATCGGATATCAATAACTATATGATCGAATTGCATATTTTTTATGCTATTTTTCGAAAGAAAAACTTATTGTTTATTTTTTTGATTACCGATCATATAGTTGACGTCTGATTAATATGATTTTTGGTAGACATGAAGTACTCAACAAATCCTACAAAATGAACGGTTCAGATCATAAAATAAGCCCATGGTACACCTCAACTTGAGGCACAACAGTGACCCACATTCCACTGGAAGGACCCTTCGTCACTGGACATCAAACTCTTCGTTTTTGATTCCATTGAGGGAATACTTTTTTGTATACAAATATATATATATATATATATATCAGAATATGTATCTATAGAATTAGTCAATCCCGGTGGCAAATCGGATGGTTCGATCGAGAAAGAGAAAGAGAACAACGGTGATTTTTGGCGAGCTCGCCGACGAGAGGAGAGAGAAAATTGGCTAGAGAGAGAAGCGTACACGATGAAAAGAGTAACTTTTTAGAGAGAAAGAGAGAGAAAAACTTTTTTTCTTGGCTTCTGTGGGAAAAGAAAGAGGGCTCGAGGGAGTGAAAAATAAGGCTGGGATGCAAAATTTTTTTTTTTTTGGCTTTACCAAAACAACGTCGTTTTGGTAAGGCTTAATCTCAGCCGTTGGATAAATCACTCTAGGAGATCACTTCAGAGTTTTCACTCTAGAGGATTCTAACGCACCAAAGTTTTTCCTGCAGTTGGCCTACTTGTTTATCTTTAATACAAATTTTATAATATGATGAATTTCATTCGGGTAAATTATACAAATAGTCTTTGAATTTGAGTAAAATTTCACTTTAGTCCATATGGTTTTAATTTTATTAATTTAAACCTCACACTTTTGATTTCATTTCAATGTGATCCCTCTAACATTTTAGACAGAAAAACAACACGTGCAAAACTAGAGGGACTACGGTGAAATTCAAAAGAAATTATAAAGACTACCAATGTCAATTATTAATTTTTCTTTCTTGTACAAGAATTGCTAAAATTCTAACGTGAGATGCATGTGGCATTTTTCCATCTAAAATACTGACGATACCTAACGGATGGACCACATTGAAACATAATTGGCAGTTTGAAGGAAATTGAGAAAGTTCACTCAAAACTAGAGGAACCAACAGTGTAATTTACACTATGCACCCTTGTACTTTGAACTCAATCTTACCTTGCCTCCAGACCTTTTTAATTGTCTTAGTCAATTTCTTAGATTTTAAGTCAAGTTGCAATCATCATTTCGAAAAAGTGCAAGGGTGTTAAGTGTAATTAATATTATAACACGGCTATTCTATGTTGGTTTTGGAAATGACATTACACAAAAGGACCAATTGTAACTTGCCTTGAAATTTGGAAAGTTAACTAAGATAATTAAAAAGTCAGAGAGTAAAGTGAGACTGAATGTAAAACGGAAGGGTGTTAAAGTGAATTCTACCCATTACCCATTTCATTTCCATGGCATTCAAAAGTGTGAAGAAGAGTTGCAGTGAATACTCACAAAACCCCATCCTCCAAATTTATAGGTTGGCCCAGAGACAGTATATTTGTTGCAATTTTCTCTGAGGAAAATCTTCTCATAAGGGGGTTCAAGAAAAGCTGCTGTGATATTGCCACTCTCAAACTCTCCTAGATCCTACAAAGTTCAATATTATTATGATTACATGTACATTAATTTCTTACAATGCCGACCCTGTCATATACTCTAAATAGGTTCCACGGTAGATGTTGCTTAATAGAGTGAAAGAAGATAAATCCAAATGCATAGATTCATCCTCAAGTATTTTCTTTCATTAGTTTTGCAGAAGACTTCACTTTACAAGTACAGTCTTTTCATGCAAAGATTACTAGTTAAACACATTTAGGCAAAGCTAAAACAGATTTTATCAAGCTTGAATTGATTAGTATGATATTTGTTCAGCAGGTAACAACTCTTGTGTGATTAAACCTTGGTTTAAACAAACCTAAACTTTATGTTTCTGCTTGATTCTAACCGGCATACCCAATTGTTTACATCTTAATAAACCATTATTATGAAGTTTTAAATCAATATTTGCCACAAAGATTTAGGGTCGGCCCTAGGCATAGGCCAACCAGGCCATGGCCTAGGGCCCCTCAAAATAGATCCAAAAAAGAGATCCCTTTCTATTATGATTTAGTGTGATATATTAGGTATGTTTTAAGTTCAAAAAAAAATTAAAAACTGCCCAAATTAACTTAAAATAAATTAACTCATTAAAAATTAAAAGATCCATTCAAAAAAATTAACATTATTATCCATTGAAAATAAACCCCAAAAAAGAGTCCCCTCCTATTATAGTTTATTATAATATATTAGGTATGTTTTAAATCTAAAAAAAATTAAGAAAGGCCCAAACTAACTTCAAATAAATTGACCCATTAAAAATTTGAAAGGCTCATTTAAAATAATTAGTATTGTTATCCATTGAAAATGATTTTGCAAAAAAACTAGATTATGCAATTATGATTAATTTATTTGCGAGAAGCAAGCGACACTTATTAGTTGTTATAATATAATACTAAGTATTTTTTGTGATTTTGACACAAATATTTTGTCTTTTAGCTTCATTTTTTTTTTTTCTTCCATGAAAAAAAAAAAGTGAAGGACCCCAAAAATTTATTAGTTGATTATCGGCTTTGGGCCCCGGAAATCTCAAGGCTGGGCCTGGGGTGGGGACTATTAGAAGTAGTGGCTAGAGGTGGGAATTTTTTTTTCCTAGTATTTATTAATTTTGAATTTTTTTTATAAACATCAAACAATTTATTTATTTATTTTTATAGTTTAATTTTTTTTTAAATTTTTTTTATAAATATAAACATTTTTGGTTTGGAATTTTATGATGCTTACTATGGGAGAAGAAAAGAGAAGAGAAGGTGAACCACATAGTAGTGCTGAGTTGAGTCTTCCAAGGGCCTCTAAATTCAGGATTGGATTGATGTTCCAAGAACCAAACAACAAACATTGTGTAAATCATTAGGAGAGCAGTCACAATCCACATCTCTATAGTGAATGGTTTAATGAACGTCGAAGCCTTGGCCTCTTCAGTTTTCACTAGAACTATCATTGGCAGCCCTGACGAAAGGAACGGCTGAGTGAATCTCACGAGTTTAAATCTGTCGGCTAGTATTGTTGTATCACCAACTATAGCATCGTAAGTCTTCCATCCAATTTGATCCACATAAGAAAAGAAACCAAAATTGTCACACTCTACCAAATAATTTTGGAAAGATAAAAACAAAGGCTAATAATATTTAACCAAAAATTACACTGAATTATTTTTTAATAAGATTAAATTGATCGAAACTAATACAGATGGTGCGAAAACACAAAAATAAATAGTGTAAACTATACATTTTGTGTAAAAGAGATGACAATATCATTTTTTTTATCCATATAACTAACAAATTATTGATAAAAATGAAACTAAGTGTTATATAAATTAAAATATCAAGAAAACTTAATGTAATTATGCCAAAAAATTGTGGGGCTTACAGTATTTGCTCCAAACCTCAAGGAAGGTTAGTATAATTTATCCAAAATAATATGTACTAACAGTAGCAGCTCAAATTTTTAAGGAGTATCAGGTTAAACAGTAAAATAGGAACGTATCTAATTATGCTTATGCTTTTAAAAGGTTGGAACATTCAATAATAAGAATTTTCTTGTGGGCATTAAGCGACACAATCTAAATGGCCTAAAGATTATGCCATCTCGGATAGCAATTTTTTTTTAAAAAAAATGCAAAAAATTGCCCAAAACTTGAATACAGGGTGTAGATTTGCAGTGGCTGACTTAGGAATTTTGATGAATGGGGGAGGGGGCAAAGGTAAAATTATTTAAAATTCAAGGGGCTCAAATGCTAATTTCTTGAATAAATACCTAAAATAGCAAGGGTTAGTAGCCATTTATTTTGAATTTCAGAGCGGCCAAAATGTTACTTTCTTATATAAATATCTAGAATAGTATAAAGTTAAATGACATTTTTTGGAGTTTGAGAAGAATCCAATTCATATATTTAAATTTTAGACATAATTCTAATATATATATTTTATTGGTTACGTATCATTGGTGATATTCATTAGTCACTTTCGTGGATTAGTAAGACAAAATATATTAAGACAAGTCGTTGAAAAAAATCTTTGAACTGATAAAAGGTGAGAAAAGAGTTCGGTGAGTTTGTAGGAAACTCCTACTTACTTCTATAATGGGCCAAAAAATGCACAAATATTGACTTGAAAGCTTTGCAAATTAATTTTTTTTTTCACGAAAAAAAAGGGAATTTATTGTAGTTAATTTGAATTTGTATGTTTCGTCAATTAAAATTACAATACAAGTGGTAACGACCCAATTGACATATACAAGTAGGAGAAATATTGAATTAAAATGTAACCTAATCCTTAGGTCTTAGGTAAAAGATTGGTTACGGGTTAATCAAGTATTTAAAATTTGTCAAGTTGTCATATATTGGATCAACTTGTAATCATTCTTAGAATAAAGTGAGATTGACTAGAGTCTTTGATTTGAAACCTGACTCGTTGGGTCGGCTAGCAAACTTATCAAAAATTATGAACAAAAAATAGAAAAAAAAATTTAAAAATAAAACTTAAATCTTGGCCCGTTAACTCGTCCATTGGCTTGGCCTACAAGCCTATCTGGGCCGAGCCCACCCAGTAGAGTTTAGGCCTAAGGTTTTGGCCCATGGCACGAACTGGCTAAAGCTAGCCAAAAAAAGCCCATCGGGATCAACGCGCTGGGCCAAGCCTACCCAACAGAGCTTGGGCCTAAGGTTTTGACCCGTGACTTGGCCTGGCTAAAGCCAACCAAAAAAACCCATTAGGCTTAGCATACAATTGGGCTTGGGCTCTACTTTCTCGAGTTGGCTTGACTCAATACTAACACTTCAACGCAGATAATATCACATGATATTGTTGGACTACTTAAAAATATTGACCGAAAAATAAAGTTAGTAGTTACCTTGTTGCCGACGCAAAGAACTAAATCATCGTACGACAAGTGGAAGGGCTCAAATTTGTAGGGTAGGTCATAACCCAAAACTTCTACATCCTTTTCAAAAACTTCAATGCAAAACCCCAAATAACTCTTCTCCCCATTTGAATGCTCAACCACCTTCACAAACATCTCAAAAGCAGTCTCAGCTAGAACTCCAATCTTCAACTTCTTTGCTTCACTGGGCATTGTCCATCCTTTTGGGACAGCATTCACTAGCTTTCCTGGCCATTACACTGAATCAACAGCCCACAATTTCATGCTATCACTAACACTTTATGATTTTGAAACTGGGAAATTGTTGCGATAGCTCCCCACCATCAAAACGAATGTCTCTACTCAACCCTTTGAAATCGCTCAATAAAATGTTTTCAAGAAGAATTTTTTGAGTCCTATTATTAATGGTACCAAGTTTTTGCACAGCTTGTATATTAGTGTCAATACTGTCATACGCTCGTATAGCATGAATTCTAGGCACATAATTATATTCCTCGCGATACTCTGACCTAAATTTTTTTTGAAATTGTTGTTTAAAATTTTGAAAAAATTGATTGCTTTCGCGATAGTATGCCTAAATTCCTAGAGCACCTTGCATATTGGAGATGACAGAAATATTAACAGAATCCAAAAGACTTGAAATTGCGTCTGTTATTATCCACACCGAGTCTCTCTCCACCAACCCTAATTGCTTAGCTTCTCTGAACAAATGAATAGCCAAAGGTAACAATGACTGAAGAATGATAAAAACCCTAGATTGTTGTTTATGCAACAAACTCGCAAATTCTTTATGAACAAACCCTTGTGGATCAGAAAGAGAAGAGAATGGCGGGAAAACTCAATCTTTGTGCCAATGCTAAGAAGTGATTCGGATAACAAAGCCAGCCCACTGGAATCGCTACCATAGGTATCGTCTTCGTATATCGCTATTACTTTTTTCCATTTGTAGGATTGAAGAATGGATGTAAAGCAATTTACTTGTTGGGAGCCATTGGTGGCTATTTGTACCAAGAAAGGCCAACGAAGGGCGGTCGATGGGGGTGAAATGGTGGCCGCTAATGCAAGTGACAGGATTGGGACTTGTTCTCGGTTGCCAATGGATGCAACTAAAGTTGCCTCATGCCATGTCTCCATCCTAACAATCACTTGTTCCTCTTCCTTAATCAACTCTTCAACTACAAAAAAATTGAAAATTTTACAATTAATTATACTTTTTTAAATAAAAATAAGAAAAATTATATTCATACATTCATACAAAAAACTCTGCAATAATTATGTAACAATGTTATTTTTGTAATAAATTCATCTTGACGAATGTTTTGTTTTAAAGTGGAAAATTCACAATGAGCCACGTCATTTTGTATGAAATTTTGCATAAATTTTTATTCATACATTATTGCTCTAAAAATAATATACCAAACAATTGTTTGATATTTATTTATTTGTTTAAATGAGAAATACTGACCATATGAAACTATAGGGTAACCACAGGGTGGTTGGCCTAGTGGGTGACGACTGGGGCCTGGAGATTTGCTCTTTTCCAAGTCTCAAGTTCGAATTCCCTAACCAGCAAATGCATACCTTGGGACCACGGACCGCAGGTTGTAAGCCCTGTTTCAGAAGGCTTGTTGGGGCTATAGAAACTTAGTCTGGTATGTATAAGCTAGCCCAAGATACCCTATATAACAAAAAACAAAAAAAGAAACTATAGAGTATATGTTTTCATTCCTATCTTACGAGTTGTGACAACATATCATGTTGATTCTTATGTTAATGCATAAACACAGAGTAATGTTATGAAAAATAGATCTTTAATTTATGTGATAATTGTATTTGTGAATGTTTTTCTTTTTACAAAGAATTTTAGTGTTTATTTTGTGATAAGTCCATATCTAATATATTTTTACTGATAATGATATTATTAATGAAATTATTTTGTGAAAAGGCTAAATTATGGTTTTAAAGGGATTTTTTTTTACCCCACTACCACCAAACCACCATTGATCAGTAATCGAAAAAATGATTGAAAAAGTCACTGAAGGTGACTAGCAGCAACGACAATTGGTGGTGGTGGTAATATAGACAAATAGATAGATTAAATAGACAAGTAGGTAACCTGTGGACAAATAAGGAATGATATGTGGACAGATAGATATGGATAATATGATTTTTCAAATTATTTTGTCCTTTTAAACCCCAAAAGAATAGACTTTGAGACTATTGTCACAAAAAATTTTAAAATTGAACTTACAAGTTCCCGTTAAATTTTATGTGTATTTTTTTTATATACTCCCTCCAATTTGTTGGTTCATTTTGGGGATTCCAACTACTTAAGGGAGTCTTGTTCAAAAAAAAAAACTACTTAAGGGAGCATGCAATTATTACACTTAAATTTAAATTTCAAAATATTTTTGTACTAGTTCCAATCTTTTCAAATTTTTAATATATTTATAATTACTCAAAAGGGGTAGTTTTGACAAATCAAAGGCTCCATTTAGTTTAGTTTTGAAATCAATTTTGAAAGATAAATTTTTGAAACGAGTTTTAAAAATTGAAAACTTGTTTGGTTATGAGTTTTGAAAATAATTTTGAGATAATTTGTATTTTTTTTTAATTGAATAGATGGGTATGAGAGAAAATTTGATTGATTGATGTATAGAATGTGAGAGAATAAGAGAAGAGAGAGAAAAAACGATTGATTGATGTATAAAAAAAAAGAAGGAGAGAGGAGAGAGAGAAAAAACAAATTTCAAAAATGATAAAACAAACATGTTTTCTGATTTTTCAATCCAAAAGCTCAAATAAAAATTAAACTAAACAAAGTCAAATATTTTTTACTTTGACTTTTTAAATGGGACTATCATTTTGGGATATCTTAAAATGAAATAATAAATCAACAAAATGAGATGGATGGAGTATATAAAATTAACCTATAGAATGGGATGACTTATTATAATCCTCATTTTTAACCAATGACTCTTAACTTTTGGCTCATTATTTTTTAAAAAAAATGTTGCATGCATTTTTTTATTTATTTATTTATTTACAGTTTTATATCACCGCTAGATAGGCGAATAGTTATGATTATTATTATTATTTTTTTTTGAAAATAATCATTAAATGAAATAGTAAAGAATAATCTTATCGTATATCTTGTTGATATAAAAAGTAGGTGTTAACATCATAAATCTGCAATTTTTATTATTATTTATTATTTATATAATTGCAGGACACGTGGCATCCTCTTATTCATTTGGAAGTTAAAACGTAAAAAATATATATTTCAGAATAAAAGAGCACCTAAGGAATTATTGATAAAAATGAAACTAAGTTTTATGTAAACTAAAACCTTAATATTACATAAATAGAGTTGTTGTATATAAAACATCGTGTCTATTCATATTTGTTCATTTAAAATCAAAACGCCTATCACTTTGAATCATAATTTCAAAAAATAACAGTAACAAATTTGTATACAAATTCTATTTGTATAATCATTTGAAAAAAAAAAAACACATTACCAGCATAAACTGCTTGGAGGGGGTCTCTGCCAGGGTCTTTGAAGTTCTGAGCTGCAATTTCCATGTCTATTTTTTGTTCTTTGCCAATATGGGAATTCGCATCAATTATCGCTCCGATTTTCGTAGTTTTTGAACCATTAGAGCACATGTGATACGTGTAAATTAAGAAAAGAAGAAGAAAAATAGTGGAAATTTTGACAAAATCTTAATTAATTTTTTCTCATTGCTATTCAAAAAATAAAAATATAAATAAGAAATCTGTTTTTTCACATAATTTTAAACAGTCTGTTGGGTATACCTCCTTATTGGAGTGTGAGACTCAATTAATTTGTTAAAAGAATTTTAATTAGGCTTGGTTTAGGTATAATATATTTTTATATATTATATCTAATTTTGTAGACACCTAATTCAATCTGATTACAACTAAGTTTTGATAAAAACCTAGATTAACAATATATATATATATATTGTTTCTTCCGATGGGTTATGGCGAGATACACTAGATTATTCTCGGTGACTTTTCAGTGCTTGGTTTTTGAAGATTTGGATGCTAAATCAATTTTATTCTGTTTGAAACCACTGTTTGGAGCTCACATTGAAGGTGTGACATTTGGGTTATTATTTTGGATCTTTTACAACTCTAATTTTGAAGATTTTTATTCATCTATTTTCTTGTTTATTTGTGATTATTTGGAATTCACCTAAGGGTGGTTTGTGAGACCATTCGTGTCTCGTTTGTAATCGTTTGGAATCTATTTGGTTGATAGTAGAATCGGATTTCGATCCCGTGGACGTACCTCACATTGAGGGAACCACGTAAAAATTCTTGTGTTGCCTTTGATTTAATTTTTTCACATTAGTTTTTATTCCCATTAATTGATTTACTTGTGAGGAATCAAATATTTTCCCTAACACAGTCGTGGGTATTTTGGAAAACTTTTAAGGGATATTCACGCCAAGTCTAATGTTGATTTTATATAAGAGTAATATTATAAATCCAAAAAAAAATTTATTCAAAAATATCAAGTGTGGTTCAGATTTATTTTATACATAGATCAAATAATACACTTTTAATCTCCATTACACACTCCATTCTTGACCTAAATCTAGGACTAATACCCAAACTTACTGTTTATATAATAGTATAGATAATATAGATATATAGTAGATGTAGGAGAAATGATCTAATAGGTTTGGTCTATCATGTAGCTGGATGCTGATAATAGAGTAGGTGATTTCTTTATAGAAAAATGGTTGGGGCTGCCTTTTTGGGACCCTTACAACTTTTTTGGATCTTAACCATTGATGTATTTGTGAGACCCACTCATGTATGTGTGGAGCCCACACCATTAATAATTGAATTCCAAAAGGAGTTGTGAGTGTCTAAAAAAAAAATTTCAATCATTGTTATTTCTTTATATGAAACATATGAGAAAAAAAAATAATAATAATAGTTACATGATCAATAAAATTGTAAAGATATACTTGGTAGGATATGAGGCTGATATTTTTCGTAGGTGTAAGAGAATTTTTTCCACACAAATATCTGAATTTTCTCCTGGTGGCCTGGAAAATCAACGGTCACAATTGGGACCAATAAGATTTTGAATAATACACATGCATTAATTAATATATTAATTAATGTACTAACTGATAATATGATACAATTTTAAAGATTTTAAGTATTTATAATTTGTAGGTGCACTAAAATTTGGTTTAGCCTGACTGGTAATTTCCTGAAAAGAAAATCTGTGTCAATTCATTGTATCAATGTTGATTTTCCATTTTTTATTGATATTACTCCTGTTAACAATAATGATTGCGCATTGGAGTAGTTCATAATACCTTTCTTTGAAAAATAAAGTAATTATAGCTAGCGTTATAATTTTGACATAATTATACTCTCAATAAATTTTTTATAAATTTTGACCAATATAGTCATTTGCTAGTCAAATTGATGAAAAATGATAATGCTATCAATTAAATGCTTATTTAACTCTTTATCATACTTGTGTTCAAACATCGTATGCATCCTAACACTTATATTCCATGTCCAAATAACACACACCGGCGGAGAATGAGAGTAATTAAGTCACTGATTAGGTAAATGGAGTGTAATTATGACATTTGACGTCAATACATATTTAAATATAAAAAACATTTAAGGGGTAATATAATAATTTTATTAGTTCCATTAAAACCGTTAAATGTTATAGTTAAGGATAATTTCTCAAAATTTTGAATCATAATTTTTTCATTACCCAAGAAATCTCATTGTACTTCACTCAATTTTCAAAAACCACAAGCAATAACAACAAACTATATCTCTAAAACATTTGCTAGTACCACAAAAAATCTTAATATTGTTGGACTTATTTTCTAGTGTGACCCAATAGCCTACATATTTTACAAGTTTTATTTTATTTGGATTCGACAATTAGATAAAGCCAATATTATATATAAAATTCAGTAATTAGAATTTTAATATAATCACTCTTCTAAGATAAGAAAGAAACCTTGATGGGTTAGGAATTCTTCTGATAGAGTTTATTTGGCCCTCTTCTCTTCTTTATATAAGGATGGGTGACTCCCCTTTCATATCATAAGTGTTTTTCATCACTTTAAGTTTTATAGTCATCCTAATTAAGAAAGACAGAGAGAAGAAGGTGAGCCAAGAATTAAAGGTTCAACTCTAAGGGGTATTTTCTCAACTTCTCTAATTCAATGGCTGACAAAGGTATGTTCGTTTTATTCTTGAGTTGTATTGAATTCAAGATCCTGTAAAGTTTAATTCCGCATTATTATTATGGTTACATGTATTATTAAATCTTACATGTGGTATCAGAGCTTTAGTTTGTGAATCAATACACCTTGGAATAATAATATATTTATGAATATTATTATTATAATTATTCATAAAACGGTACATTTGTTTTTTTTTTGTTTATTATCGACATTAATTTTTAAATCATATTTGGGATGTAAAGTTTTGGCTAAAATAATCGTATTAATTTTTAAAGCGGTTATTATAATATTACGTGGCTAAAACTTAAAAGATTTAAAATTGGGTCGATTAATTAAAAAAATGGGTCAGTTTATAATATGATTCAAACGTGGCCTAGTTTTATAAATCCTTGCGTCATGGTTATGCGTGTTTCGTTTTTTTATGTCTCAATTATATGTATATATGCATGTTTCGGATTATTATTAATTTTAGAGATAATAATTTTTATAATCATCATAATATGATATTGAATTGAGTGTATTGCTTGCCGTCATGATAAAGTGCATAGATTAAATGCAATCTTAGAATTTTGTTGAATCGTTCGGTCTATTAAATAAATATATTTATTTGATTGTATCACATTAGAGGATTATGTTTTTGCCTTGTCTAACACAAGAAGTAATGAGCTTCTTGAGATAATTCATACAGATATTTGCGGGCCACTCAACATCCCATGTCTTAGTGGTGAAAAATATTTTATCACATTTATAGATGACTTCTCACGTTATGGATATGTGTATCTAATTCATGAAAAGTCTCAGGCTGTTGACATCCTTGAGGTGTACATAACTGAAGTCGAGAGACAATTAGATAGAAAGGTTAAAATGTTATTATTATTATTATATTGGTAATTGCAATCACATAAAAGAAATTTTAGAAATCATAAAATAGTGATTTCATTAAAATTGTGATTGAATTAATGATAATTAAATAACTCAAAATTAATGAATAGAGAATATTGTTGGTTAGTTCTGTATTCATAGGGTTTACTAATTTAGTAGCTGCCAAAGTGGCCTAGATTTGTAAAACTTATGAATATAGAACTACATAAAAGAATTATTAAAAGGATAACATTAAGGTCGATAATATTCTCAATTGCAGTTATAATTAGGAGATTAAGACTAGTCCAAAGGAGAGTCACTTTCAAATAATTATAAACTGGGTAGGATAATGTAACTTATGTAATTTGATAGATTAGAATTGAATACCCAAAGGTAACACGACTAGCTGGAAAATTGCATAAATTACTTTAGACCTACATAAGTGATTCTTGACGAGTGGACAATAGATATACCTAAGTTTTGCCCAAAGGAAAGGCTTATGTGATATCAATAGTTCATCATAATTCTCAAAACTTTAATATGTATATTGTTTATGCCTTTTTCCATGTTACTTATGAGATCTTGTGTTAATACCTCTGAAGATCTGTCAAAAAGATAACTTGCTATCTAAGGTGGTTGGACTTAGAAGGGAGGCTATATTGACTCCTCTGACCTTCCTGGGATCTTACTTGATTATTGACCAAAGGACCTTTTAGTGACGTTACCCTAATGCTTAAAGTAAAATTTGGTTAAAGGCTGTTGAAGATCAACAAGCCACTTGCTGGCACTATTATGGTTGAATTAACAATAATGAAATATAATGGCCACCGAGGAGGTTTAGGATCACATCCTCAATATGGCAACAAAGTTGCAAAACTTAAAAACTTCAGGGATGCAGGTTGATGAAACTTTCCTCGTGCAGTTTATTCTCATCTCACTTCCATCACAGTTCGGTGCATTCAAAATTCACTATAACACCAATAAAGATAAGTGGAGTTTGAATGAGCTGACTAATATGTGTGTTCAGGAGGAAGTGAGGTTGAGGGAGGAAGGACGTCAAACTGCATTGGCTGTAACTTATGGAGCTATAAAGAAAAGGATGGGTAAGTTTGTAAAATCAAAGAAAAATCCACGAAAGAAAAAGAATAAACCTGGGGAAGAAAATCAGGCTCAGAATGGTTTCACTGTCAAGTGCTACTTTTGTGGCAAGAAGGGACATGTGAAGAAAGACTGCAGTAAGCGAAAGGTTTGGTTCGAAAAGAAATATAAGAAATTTTCTTTTGTTTGTTATGAATCAAATCTTGCTGAAGTATCTTCTAATACTTGGTGGATTAACTCTGGGGCCACGACCCACATTACAAATGACATGCAAGGATACCTCTCAACCAGGAAACTGAAGGAAAGTGAAAGATTTGTCTATATAGGGAACCGTCTCAAAGCTGAGGTCGTAGCTGTAGG